AAATTTTCAAGCACATTAAGAGGAAGTGCACAAGAACCATATCTCCATTTTGACAAATTGCAGAGTTATTGCCCTTTCATACTTATCCTTGTCCAGAGCATAACTTAAAACATACTGGTTGGAATTCAAAAACATTCAAAATTCAAAACAACTTCATACAATAGTCAGCACAATAGGAGGAAGTGCAGTGCACAAGAATTATAACTCTGTCCAGAGTAATGATAGAGTTATTGCCCTTTGTTACTTTTTCATTGCTTTTTTCATGTCCAGAGCATAACTTGAAAACTGCTAGTTGGAATTCAATATTGTAAAACACTTATTTTTTCGCTAGAACCTTATTTCGTGAATTTGAGGCAAAATGTCCAAAATAATTATTTTGCGTCAACTTGAATTCGCGTCTTCTCGAAAAATGTGAAACCGGAAACCCGATGTCTTTCGGATATTTTCTGTCCTGTCCGTTCACAATACTTTGTCGTCGTTTATTGTGCTACGAATGCATTTATATCTGTATCGATTTTTCTGATAGCTTGCTAATCTTCTTGTTAAGTGAAACCGTCTGTCTAAAAATATGTCAATAAAGTTTGATAATTATTTGATATGTGTGCACTGTGTTTGTCATGTATTATCCCTGATTATACCTCTAGCATTGTTACTAGTAATACTGAATGTTTCGTATCACATTCTAGTCTGCCGTACTTCTGTGATGTCTAGTAAAAAGATAACTTCGTTCTTTAAGAGGGCGTCTGTGACTGACAGCGGGCTGCCCGTACCAGAGACACCGGCGGAGACTTTAGCCAATAAGTTGGTATAGTTGAATAGCTACATGATGTAACTAGAACTGGTTTCGATACTTTCCCGCAGATATATATCCATGTGTACGCATTTTCGGATAGTGTTCACTTTAGGACAAGTGTATAGACAAAGTGAAATATTCGCGAGAAATATAAATTTGCGTCTTAGAAAACTCGCGAATATTAGCAAAAATAAATTTCTCGCGAATAATAAGTGTTTTTCAGTACTATTTCACACAATGGTCAAGTATATTGAGAGGAAGTGCAGTGCACAGAAACTATAACTCTTTTCTCGACTTATCTAAAAGTTTTTGCCCTTTGTTACTTTTTATTATCCAGTGCATAACGTAAAAATGATATGAAACTTTATACAATGATCAAGGGCAGTGAGATGAAGTGCAGTGTACAAGAACCATAACTCTATTTGGACAAATTACAGTTATTGCCCTTTGTTACTTTTTTGTCCAGTGCATAACTTGAAAACTGGTAGTTGGAATTCAATACAACTTCATACAATGATCAAGCACAATGAGAGGAAAGTGCAGTGTACAAATAACCATAACTCCATCTTCAGTATTTATAGAGTTATTGCCATTTGTTCCTTTTCCTTGTCTTTCTGGACTTATTACAGAGTAAATCAATAAAATTTCATCAATGGCCAACCACATTGAAAGGAAATGCAACATACAAAAACCACAACTATCTTTTTTTGCCCACAACCATAACTCTATTACAATTCTTTTACAAGGTATTCTGTTACTAGAAACATACTCATTCCGGGGTATTAATCACATTTAGTGATAGTTCTAGTTATTTAAATGTTTACTGAGTAATTGTGTTTTGTTTTCCAAGTTAGTCATCATTTAAAATCGTTTATGTTTGTGTTTTTTTGTATTGTTTGTTCAGAAAAACCAAAACATGATCTGATCAGATGTCAAGATATTTCTAATGCAAACTTTTGAAAAATTAGACATGTTAACGGGCATTCTTTTGTTTGCTATAATCTGTCCGCTAGACAATGTCTATTTTCTGTACAATAGCATATTGTTTGACACCTGGTATTGAAAATGACTGTGAACTCCCACGATGATTACAGTTATTTTCCTTATTTTTTAACCTGAGTGACTCAATTTATGACTTTCGGCAGTCACCTACGCGAATTCAAAATGGCCCAAATATTCGTATAGACCCCCAAAGTGGACCTTTTCACGAAAATTTCCTCCGCGAATTTAAAAACACATACAGTATATCATGTGACTGAAATTCTTTAAACACTGGTGATTAACAAAGAGATGAAACGAATGTCACAAGTATTTAGATATTTTAGCCATACATGTATTTATGAACCATCAGTCTTACTTTCCTTAATAATTAGTTTGCTAGCAGCAACCATGCAACCAGTGTAGACCAGGACAAGCAATCTCTTCCAATGACATCTGATCATGGTCTGCACTGGTCAATATTTCTGTCTGAAAACTGAAGAATATTTTTATCTGTAATGAAAGCTGGACAAGTCCAGTTAAGAAATAAGCAGGTTGAGGGTTATATATGATATAATTTTTTTTCAGACAAAACATCTTGACATCTTACCACCCACATTGTATATATGAACCTTTTAAGCTGTGTCATGTGAGAAATTGTTTGAAATTTACCTCCACATTTTTAACATGAAATTCTTTAAAGTTTGACTGAAATTTGTTAGTTATGGTAATTCTTTAAATATTGTATACTATTTTGACATGTGACCAAAAATTGCATACTGTAATTCTAACAAGGAGTGAGTCAGCACTGATGAGAAAAGGCCAACCTTATATTGTAGCTGGAGAAAGGCTGTTCTTCCTTAAATTCCCAACAAAATATTTGAGATATTTTCAGATATTTTGTCAGAAAATTTGGCATATATTCTCATGCTTTTCTAAGTTAACTTGTTATCTGTAGTCTTATTTTGTGGAATAAGATATGAAGGACTTTTCTAAATTACTGGTTTTTTAAAAAAGAAATATTTCCTTATTTTTTGTTTTTTGTTTGTTTATTTTACCAGGGTAAACTTGCCTCCTAGAAAGAATTCACCATCATTACAATTACTGGGTGTGTTTACAAAGTCAGAGGTTATACGAGGGCCACACTGGAATTACACTGGGACTGATGGTAAAGTGTGGTGTCAGCTCTATTTACTACTATTGCTTTATGTTCAGTGTTTAGAGTAGAATAAGTGGCATAGATTTACACGTAAAATTTAAAAGGCCCAGGTGATTACGGGGCACTTACTTGTAATGATTTGAATGACTAGGTTCAAATTTTACCAGAAAAACTTGAACATTTCTATTTAGAAAGCTGTCATAATAGGTTATAAAAGGTTGGTGGTTTCTATTCAGGTGCCCTGTCATATATTAAATACCGCATAGAAGGAGAGTTGAGGTCTTCCTGCTCTAGTAAAGCAGAAAAGTAGCGATCCTTATAATTTTCTTGAGATGGAAAAAGGGGGAAAATAAAAAGTCATTACATCTTCTTCCTTAGCTCTTTAGTTAATCTTGATTCAAGTACAAAACAATAAAAATCTCAAGCTCTTTAGGCCACCAATATTTTTATTGTCACACATGTGACATGAGTCATTATTTTGCCTTATACATGATAAGTTATTATTTATATTCCTGGTTTCTGTATGAGTATCAGTCATTTTTCTCCTACAGTCAGCAACTTTCCATTTAATATACCTACAAGTGGTGGCTAGCCTGTACGTAGAGAGGACTAACCCCTGGGCATGGCAAATGTTTCCCCATGATGGTTGGTTTGATGACATTAATGCCATTCTTACACAAATAATGTCATTTGAATGCAAATTATTTGTCCTATACATTGTATAATGCTATTTTGTTGTAGTTATTACCATTTTGAAGCCTATAATGCTAATTGATCACCAATAAAATGATAAACCATTATCCCTGATATACCTGATACCATGATATACCAATCACCTTGATAAACCAAATACAGTGGTAAACCAATCACCATGATATACCACTCACCATGATTTACCAATCACCATGATAAACCAATCACCATGATATACCAATTACCATGATAAACCAATCACCATGATATACCAATTACCATGGTAAACCAATCATCATGATATAACAATCACGATGATATACCAATCACCATGATATACCAATCACCATGATAAACCAATCATCATGATATATCAATCACCATGATATACCAATTACCATGATAAACCAACAACCATGATATACCTATCACCATGATATACCAATCACTATGATATACCAATGACCATTATAGACCAATCACCATGATATACCAATCACTATGATATAACAATCACCATGGTAAACCAATCATCATAATTTAACAATCACCATGATATACCAATGGCCATGATATACCAATGACTATGATATACCAATCACTATGATATACAAATCACCATTATATACCAATCACTATATTATGACAATCCCCATGATATACCAATCACCATGATATACCAATCACTATGATATAACAATCACCATTGTAAACCTATCATCATAATTCAACAATCACCATGATATACCAATCATCTATACCAATCACCATGATAAACCAATCACCATGATATACCAATTACCATGATATACCAATGACCATGATATACCAATTACTATGATATAACAATCACCATTATATATCAATCACCATGATATACCAATTACCATGATATACCAATCACTATGATATAACAATCACCATGGTAAACCAATCATCATAATTTAACAATCACCATGATATACCAATCACCATGATATACCAATCACCATGATATACCAATCACTATGATATACCAATCACCATGATATACCAATCACTATGATATAACAATCACCATGGTAAACCAATCATCATAATTTAACAATCACCATGATATACCAATTACCATGATAAACCAATCACCATGATATACCAATCAATATCATATACCAATTACCATGGTAAACCAATCATCATGATATAACAATCACCATGATAATAAATCAGTCATCATGATATACCACTCACAACAATAAACCTGATAAAAGTAACACCATGACATACCATTTACCATGATATCCTCTTCAGAAGAGTTTGAAGATACACATTTATGTCCGGACTGTAACTTTGTCATGCATGGAAGGATTTTAAAATAACTTGGCACAAATGTCTATCACATAAAGACAATATGTCGCGGCTGAGGCACATGTCCGAATGTCCCCACTTACACAACAATCACATCAAGACTGTAACTGTGTCATGCATTGAGGGCTTTTGAAATAATTTGGCACAAATGTCTATCTCATAACAACATTTTGTCGCGTCCAGGAACCACGTCCCTTCCTCAAAGGTCAAGGTCACACTTATATTTGAAAGTTTATGCTAACACAATTAGAGCTTACAGGTACAATAATACAAAGAACAATATTCAGCAATTAGTTACTTTCATTCTCTTTTATTTTCATAATACCTGCATGCTTAAGACACCTTTTCAGGGGCATTTGTCACTTAGGTGACAGCTCTTGTTTCTTAAAAAATTGAGTTTGTAATGAATTTTTGTCAACCCCAGTCCTAAACATGTGACCTTTAAGTAAACTGTCTGAAAATATATAGGTATAATTTACAATGAGCAAACATGCCTGCTACTTTTAGGTGATTCTGGTAAAGGTATTGTCATGGCATTTGTTGAGGATAAAGATGGCCTTGCAAATGCCTATGTACGTGTCAAGTGGGAGATAGGCCATGATGTGAAGGAGTACAGGTTCGGGGTTGGAGGTTTTGTAGACGTTGTTGCATCGAGGGTCAGCAAAGGCGGCAAGGTTTATGTAGATCATATGCCTGTCATAGGTAAGAATACTTTTATAATAATTTGGGTGAAACTGTTTAATTGTTTTCTATTTACATATCATAGGAAATCTTTCGTTCCCTCAATATTAAAGAATAATGACTAATACAATTTGAGTAAAAAATATTAGCAGTCTTCGGCTCAAAATCAGGAATTTAAGAAGGAGCTCACACAGTTACAACAATAAGTCAATAACTCCCTCTAGCACAACTATTTTTTATTGTTATTCTTTTCAAAATATTTGGAGTATGTGTAGAATCCATTATTGAGCTTTTTGAGCAAATAAAAAAAAATAAGAAAGAGTTCAACAGAGTGCCAGTTAAAGCAGGAGCTGATCTGTGCATAAACAATGTACATTGAAGGTCAAATAGTAGCTTCTTCACCATCAAAATAAAAGTTGCAACAAATTTAAATCTCTGCAAGAAAGGGAAAAAATAATTATTCAATGTATAAAATGTCATTACAATTTGTTTCAGGTATTATCAAGGTCAAACCTGGAGACAAGGTGTCAGTCAACATGAGTTTGAAAGAATTCCAAGATGCCCAGAAAAATGGAAATATACCTGGAGGTTGGAAAGATGAAATGAAACAGGTATTTAGCAATAATAATACTGGGTATTGATATTTAAATTATACAAAATGGTCAAAAGTGTTTTTATGCCACCGCAGCATCTGCGATGCGGTGGCATATAGCGATTCGCCTGTGTGTGTGGGCGTGTGTGTGTGTTATATAGATTATATAGTGAACTTAAAAAGTCTTATTGTGAAAAACCACTAGTCCAATTGCAACCAAACTCGGCAGGATTGATCCTTGGGTGAAGGGCTTCCAAAGTTGTTCAAAGAATTTCATTCCATGCAGAAATCTGATTGCCATGGCAACCAAAAAGAATTATAAGAATAAATTTAAAAAATCTTCTTGTAAAGACCCACAAGGCCTAGAGCTAAGATATTTTGCATAAGGCATTGTCTGGTAGATATTTTGCATAAGGCATTGTCTGGTAGACCTTTACCAAGATTGTTCAAATTATAGTCATGGAGGCAAAAGTGGACTGGCCCCGGAGTCATTGATTTTCACTCTGTATATATAATAAATACTTAAAATATCTTCTTGTCTGAAGGTACCAGGCTTAGAGCTTTGATATTTTGTATATGATATCATCTATAGGTCGTTTACCAAAGTTGTTCAAATTTTGCCTCTAATGTCAAATTTAGCCCTGCCCCGGGGTCATAGGACTAAGGTTTTCCTTATACAGTCAAACTTGTATTAAGCGACCGCGCAAGGGAAACACCCAAAACGGTCGCTTTATGAAACGAGACAAAGCATGATAAAAAGTCAAAATTTATACATGACATCTTTCTTTTGCAACGGAATGTTTTTCAACTTCATTTATATAAATGTTTTATAATTAGAACGCTCCGATAATCTAAATGGATGCTTACTTTCTGGTATTTATTGACAAAACAGTTTTGATCCACGTACACGTACATGTTTGACATTTTTCCAGAATTTTTAAACTTCTCCGTTGTATTTCCTTGTCTCCAACACGAAACGCTAAAACGGTTTGGGAAATAGAGATTTTCACACATATATATATTGTGCTTTGATTGTTGACACCTGTGACATTACGAGGCGGTGTTATGTACTCTAAAAACACAATTACTTGACAGGTAAAAGTGGTCGTTTAATGGAAAGATTGATCTCAATTAGCTGACTAATTAGCGGTCGTTGGTCGCATTGAGCAAAAGTTGCTTAATACATTAAAGATATAGAGAGAAAATGATCGGGGGAATTTAAAGTGGATAGCTCGAACATGGATCGCTCGAACCTGATCTCTGATCCCCTCGACAGAAACATAGTGAAAATCATACCTTTTCGGTCGAACACAAAAAGACAGTAGACATGCTCTGAATGAGTGACAGTCGGAGACACATGTTTTTAACACCTCATGATAAAGGTGAATTGATATAGAAATAGAGACTGATGTTATACCCGATTTGTTTCTTATGATAATATTGTTTATTTTCCGTCTTTGTAACGATGAAAAAATTTGACACATGAGATAAGTGAAATGTACGAAAGTCAATAAATAAATGACGTTTACCCGGATGGCTTTAATTATAGCCCAGGGCTCGCGCTGGCAAGAGCAAATGAGCAAATTTGCTCCAAAATAATTAAATTGGCTCAAGAAAATCACGATTGGCTCAAACTTACGAAAAGTATGACTTTTGGAATCTCCAGTCTAAATTTTAAGAATGGAAAAGTACATATTTGGTTTTCCATCTAGAACTTCCGTTTTATCACTTCTTATCTCCAAACTTGGCGACACAGTTTACTTTTTGTGGGTCATTGACTGGTTTATATTTGTAACTTCCCATCTGAATGAAAAATTGATATGTACAGTGACACAGTCTAATACACTGACCTCGCAGTATGTTTACATGTTTATCTACTGATAAATATGACACTGATAGGTGTGAAAATACAGATTGTTGAATATACACTGATTAATTGGTCTTTATACACAATATGAAACAAAATCTAGCGGCATCTCATGATTATCGCTACTCAGCAGTTGTCCATGAAAGAGCGACAAATTATGTTATGCAGTTGGTGACTTGACCAGTAAATTTTGTTGTTGTTGATAAACAGATCAAGGGAGTTTTGAGGTTTTTTTTGTTGTTTTATTTATTTATTTTATAGTTTTTTTTGGGTGGGACGGGAGAGAGGGGGCGGCGGGGCCCGGGGGGTATTGTCAATAAAATCTCTCCTAATCATGGCTCCAAAAACATCATTGAGAAGGACTTTATTTGACATTTGAAGCTTTTCAGAGTATTCTTGTAAAAAAATTGCCCTTATTGTGATTGTCATAGATTTAAAGGGAACCTTGCTGCCTAACTGAAACATGAAAAAACTGAAGTGTAACACCATTACTGCGATTTAAATGATGACATACTTTTTTCAAAATGGCCGACAAAAGATCTACTTCTGGCCCATTAAAACTGATTTTGACTAAATATATTGTTGTTTCCTTGTGTCATGCAGCAGAAAATAAGTATATGTTACAGCTTGTGATAATTTTTGAACCATAAGTTACATTTGTTATTTTATTTCATGTTTCAAATTGTTACATACCGTGAACTAACAGGAGCACAGTATAGATAGATAGTCAGGGATCTATGCATTATGGCAATGTTCAGTTGTATAGAAACAAAAAAAAAAAAGTTCCTACACTACTATTTAGTGTTGTATTAAGAGTTTACATTACAAAAAAAATTTGGATTTGTCAACTAATTATGGAAGCTGTTTTAAGTAACCACACTCTTTCCGATATAAAAGGTATATAGAGTGGAATTGTAAAATCTGGTGGCTTAGTTAAAGGAAATTCAGAAGGTGCTTCATAATTGTAGCAGAAGGTCAATTGGTGAAGTTAATGAATTCTTGTTATCTGTACAGTCTTATATGTCTTTTTCATATTTTAAGACACCAATTTCCAAAATGCAACTTAAATAACCTCCCCACATGTTCTGTTTACAGGCAGTTAATATACTATCATTTATTTTATTAAACAAAAATATAATGTCACGTGTTTCCCTTCTCTACCAAATTGCTGTTTAATTTTTAAACTGCCCATGGTGAGCTTGTCAAAGTACTAAATCTGAGCAATCAACAATTGACATTAAGACAGGTATAGGTTAAGCAATTAACCGCCTCCGTGGTTGAGGGGTTCGAGTCGATGACTTCTAATTCAGTTACCTCTCTGGCGTGGGTTGGATCCCCGGTAGATGCTTTGGTAGTTTAGCACGGAGGAAGGTAGTCTAGTACTGGTGTAACTCTCCAGGAATGATGGTTAGGAAATATGACTGAAATACTGTTAGGAAAAGGCGTAAAATGAAACAAACAAACAAGGTTAAGCAATTAAGCTTACCATGAGTCCAATTGTGAATAAAGAACATTTTTACTATATGTGCCAGTCATCTATAATTATGTCCCACACCCCCTACAAAAAATAGTAAGACTTTGACTTTCTGATTATCAAAAACCTGATGTATGCCCAGTAAATACCCGTGCACTGCCTTAGATAGGAGACTTGTGTAACAATGAGCTGGTGCATTTCTGTTAGTAAGCTTTATACACTGTACAATGACTTACATCTATGCAGTATTTTTTACTAGAATACCTGACTGTTCTTTGTTTACAGTGTGTGAACGAGCTCGGCACAGTGGTGGAGCTTCTGTTTGGAGGTGACATGGCTCGTGTACAGTACCCTGATGGCAACTTTCATATTATTTCCAAAGCAGCATTGTATCGGGTAAATATGCCTAAAGAAATATTGATTTTTATTGAAAACAGCATGATGTGTAAATAAAATGTGCTCTGGATTTTTAAAAATTGCCCATTTCTTCCGTCAGTTTTGTAAAAGTTTTTTTGCATGCTGTACCATAAAGGATGGGTTAAACTATGATGTGACCATTATGACTAAATATTTATTTATCTCTTGCAGAGTTATTGCCCATGTTTTAGTCAATTGCAAATTATATAAATGATGCAAGCTCTAAGAAACTTTACACTCATTACTCAGTACTGGTTGGTTTTTTAGCTCACCTTGCACAAAGTGCAGGTGAGCTTTTAGGATGGCCAACCAAATGTGTCCGTCGTCCGTCCACATTTTATTTAAACGACATCTTCTATAATACCACTTGGCCAATATTAATGAAACTTGGCAGGAATATTCTTTGTATAAAGCTCTATCAAGATTGTTCAAAGAATGCCATTCCATGCTAAACTCTGGTTGCTATGGCAACTAAAAGAAAAAACTTAAAAGTTCTTATACTTCAAAATGGAAAGGGCTAGAGCTTAGATATTTCTCACAAGGCATTAGCTTGTTAGTTTCTACAAAGTATATTCAAATTTTGGTCTAAAGTTGAAAATTGGTCTTTGTTTTGGGGGTTAAAGGTTTTTTTTATTGCAAGGTTATATAGACTTTCTTTGAAGGGATACATTGAGATAGAGTATCTTGTATTTTTTGTCTCAACAGACATTGTTATGAAGATTTTTCTGTTAAAGCAGAAGAAAGATGAAAAGTTTGTTGAATGTGAATGTTAATTCAAACAGAGTCAATCAAATTAGCACATTTGAGAGCTACAGTGAAGTTGATTTCCCCATTCAATAATGGATTCTTACATTAATTTCGTAACACCATCAGAAAGGAAGACTGTGTCATTTCCGAAATACAATGTAAAATATTTCAGTTCTTGACAATGACTTGCACATTTTATTGTGTAAGATATTGCACAAAGAAACGAAACAAAAAATGATGTATTATTTTTTTTCACAAAAATTAGTTGTTTAAGATAAAAGTTTAATTTACAGTACGGATATTACTTTTTAAACATCCTTTTTGCGGGAAAAATCGTCTACACCGGTCTTACTGATGAACTACTTATGTCCTAATATTTCATTCTGAGAACAAACATACAATTCAGATCATTAAATAATGAAAATCAGTCCATTTAACAACTTAAAAAAATTGAACTTTGCCTCGGAAAACATCTGTATCAATCTGACCTCGAGTTGAAATTATAAATAGAACTAAACCGGAAGTTGACGAAACGTCCGCCATGAACAAGAAAATTGAGAAATTTTGTAACATAAACTCGTATTTCATAACAAATAAGTGAAGATGAATATAATTATCGCTGTGCTTCGTTGAAACAGGTATTTTGTTAACTATTTGTGAAGTATTGAGGCATGACATTCAGTATTTATGTAAATATCACCTCCCGTGTTGTGATTTATAAAATTATACATGTACACATGTGTTATTAATCACAATAAATGTAAGTGAAAATGGAACAATAATTATGGTAATTATCCATGGTGCTAGTAATACTTAATTATCTTTTTCATATTGTTAACTAAGCAAGAAAATTACGTAATTTTAAAATTACCAAACCTCACAATATTATCAATTTAAACTTGAAAATCTTCTCAAAATGTCTTCCCAAACAGTAATTTTTGAAACATGAAAATGGTTCATGTAGAAAAATAAGACAAGAAAAAACTGAATTGACTCATGAAAATTTTGGTCAAACAATCAAACGTGAAATTCTGACCTTCCTGAGATCCCTGCTGTTTGTTGTTGTTGTTGTTCTTTTTAGAAAGGGGTGTTCTAATATGATAAACCACAGATGCTTGGGGGTTAGATCCTGCCCCCAACATGATACCCCTGAGTAAACACTATCAAAAAATATTTTAATATTTAACCACTCATGGGATATCTGTTACAACTATAACACTTTTGTAGAGTGACTTCCCTTGAATTGAGTTGTTTATTTTTTGCACGGGAGAAAAGTGAAAGAAAATACTGAAAACGAAGACTTTCTCGTTGACAGATACTTTCTAAAATTGACAGACAGAAATATGTGCGGTGTATGCAAGCTGTGCAACAGTTATTATTTGAATTATGTGATTTGAATTTGTTTCTTGACATTGATAAACCTTGTATATATATACTACATAGTGGTTATCTACCCGTGACACTTTTTTCTACACAAATTCACGTCCGATTTGTCATTGAGGCCCGTCATGGGTGTTACAATTGATATATGGAGAGGGCGTATAGGATGTTTTAGTCAACCTTGTAAGACCAGGAATAGAACTCAACATTTAACTTTAAATAAAGGCTATGTCTGCTTGAGCATTCGCATTGCCCTTTTCCTGCTTCTCACTTTGATTGGTGGAATTGAGCCAAATGCCGGCCCCGGTCCCGGTACGAGGAGGGGTAGTATTTCAAATGCACGCAGTGCTGTAACTAGATCAGGTGGGAGAATCGCAGAAAATCCAAGAGGCCAACAGGAACGTGAAAATGATTCATTCACAAATACACAGTCAACTAGTTTGAATAGTTCTCAATCTACTCTTAATACGTGGTTTCAGGCTAGTCCAATCAATAACTCTGATGCAGCGTCTCGTTCAACTGGAGCAACAAGTAATTCAACCAACAGTCCTGTGCGAAATACACCTGTAAATGACACTATGCCCATGTCTATTTTGTTAGATATACAAGCTCATGTTCGCGGTTTAGACAGGAAATTTGACACACTTGAGCAGTCCATTAATGACTTAAAATCAGAGAATTTTAAACTACGTGAGCAAAATGTAAAACTGACGGGCAAAGTAGATAAATTAGCAACTCTTGTTAACGAGCTAGAAATCTCAAATAATTCTCTAAACGAAAAACACGAACAGCTTGAAAGTCAGTCAAGGCGCCAAAACCTTATATTTTATGATATAAAAGAATCGCATAAAGAAACATGGGAACAATCCGAGCAGGTAGTACGTGACTATATTCGTGATGAGCTTAGTATGAACGAATCTGATATAAGAATAGAAAGAGCACATCGTTTATACAGTAAAAACAAGCCTCGCCCACTTATTGTTAAGTTCTCCTTCTACAAAGACAAGGAAACTGTGCTGAAGAAGTATCGCGGAATCACCAAGGCAGGGCGTAATCAGGGCGTAATCAGCGTAACCATGACGACAACATTAGTGACCCAGGGTCAGACCGGCACAATGATGTTTCTTCTTCCGGTTCAAATGTTAGGATCAGTGAGGACTTCCCGAAACGAGTTAGAAATATACGTGCCCTTTTAATACCTTTTCTAAAAGAGGCTATTAGCAAGGGTGAAAATGCGTTTTTACAATATGACAAACTCGTCATAAATCATCGTGTTTATTCATGACAATGAGAAAGAATGTCCGGTTCCGGTTACAAGATAGGAGATCGGCAAGGTCCCAAGTACCAACAATGACAACTGTCTTCAGTCTTTACAAAACTCTAATGTTATTCTCCATGAAACAAACTTTGGGCATCACTTCCGCAATGAAAATGACTATTCTATTAATATTGATTTAAAGATGTGTTCCTGGAATATTGAAGGATTAAAAAAATATTATAATGATATTAGCTTTCAGTCATACTGTTCACGCTTTGATATATTAAGTTTCTGTGAAACTTGGGGTGTTTCAAATGATGAATTCGAAAACTTTTTACCTGGATATACAAACTTTAACTTTTGTAGAAGAAAGAAGAATACAGCTGCACGTGGTTCCGGAGGCGTGACGGTTTTTGTTAAAGACTGGTTGATCAAACGTGGGTCTATAAAACGTATATTTGATAATATAACTGAATGTGTAGTGCTATTAATTAGTGCTGAATCTATGATTTATGTGAATGATATTATTCTTATATTTACATATGTATCTCCAGAATACTCGTCTATTTATTCGATTGAAGATAATAATGGTATTGAAATTTTGAATACAAGTATTAGTCAGATTAAAGGTAAATATCCCGATGCAGAATTATTTTTGGCGGGAGATTTAAATTCACGTATAAAAAACTTCAATGACTTTGTGTTAGATGATAATCTATTGTTTATATTTGGTGATGATGTACCATACCCAGAAGATGATTTTAATATGCCTAGATTATCTAAAGATACAGAGTTTAATCGTTTTGGATTATCACTTATTGAATTATGTTGTACTTATGGTATACATGTTTTTAATGGAAGATTTTTTGATGATATTCCTGGTAACTATACTTGTTTAGCAAATAATGGAGCCAGTGTTGTAGATTATATGGCAGCTACTACTTGTTTGTTTAAATATGTAACATATTTTAAAGTGGATAATAATGACGAGTCTGTACATTTTCCTATTATTTGCCATTTTTCATTCCCTTCTATAGGTAGTCAAAATCAGTATAATTTTGAAAATGGTGAGACTATGTCACCATGGCTGAAGTATAAGTGGAAACCAGAATTCAAAGAAAATTTTATAAATAAACTTACGCCTAAGTTTCAACAATTTGATGAAATACGTATTAATTCAGAGAATAGAACTTTGTCCTCGTTTCTTCCGGACTTTTTAGATATCTTAAAATTTTCTGCAGATGATATGAAATGTAAACATCACAAAAACGTATCATCTCAACCATTATGGTGAGATAACCAATGTCAAATTCTAAAAAGAGATAAAACCCGTTTTCTTAGACAGTTCCGGGTTTCAAATGAAAGAGATGATTTAATAAAATATAAAACGTCCAAAAACAAATTAAAAGCACTATGTAAAAATAAACAGTATTTTCACTGCAAAGCTAAACGGAAGCTGTTGGTTGATTCCAGGAAAAATGCAAAACAATTCTGGAATATTCTTAAAAAAGGTAATAGTAAAGAAAATGTAGATTCTTTAATAACATGTAATGAATGATATGATTATTTTAAATTACTCTTGAATCCTGTAACTGGGGAAAATAGTTCTATCGATGAGCAGCCCGTGGTCAATGTGAATCGTGATTACTTAAATTGTGACAAATTAAC